TCTCATGACCACATATCCTGTGCAGCATTATATTTTTTTAATCCATCCACCAGCTTATTGTAGCTACTTCATTTAGGGTGACCCAATGTCCCAATATTAGAGGCTTTTTCTATATATGCAACTATTACACCCACCCTCTCCCACAAAGTGTCCCGATTTTTCACATTTGCTAACTGATCACCCTAACGTCATTCCTTCTTCTGTGATGGCTTTGTATAGTGTCCACTTACGTTTCCCTTACTTTGGCAACTAGCTTAAATTTCATCTCACAGTTTTTTCTGTCTTCCCAACTAATACGCCAGTGATGCTACTGCTTGGTTGTAGTTCATTGTATTATTATTTCCAGTACAAGTTCGGGCATCAGTCTAATTTTAATATCTTCTAAAAAATATGCCTTACAGTACGGAGATATATCTTCTGCAATACTAACATGCTAATAACTAGTCGTTATATTTGGCTTGGCCACTCTCCTCTCACCCCAGAGCCAAGCATAACAAAAGAAGGTATGTAATGTCTGCGCTGCCACTGAGAGGCATGATTCCAAATGTGGGTAGACAAACTTGTGCTAGCTCAGCTTGAGCTAGTGCACGAAAAAGAGCCGGTGTTGCAACATCCCCATTCAGTGTAGTCATATGCTGTCACCAAATAAACCTTGTTTTACTTATATTCAGTACTCAGGGCCAAGTTGTCTCCCGATCTCCCCTGACAAGTAGTAGCATGTATGTAGCGTAGCCATACTGGTCCCAGGATATTAGAGAGACAAGGTGGGTGAGAGATCATCTTTTATTGGGCCAACTTCTGTTGGTGAGAGAGGCAAGCTTTTGAGCTTACACAGAGCTCTTCTTCAGGTCAGGACTACTGCAAGTTGGTCCAGTAAAAGATTTTATTTCACCCACCGTGTCTCTCTAAGATAATAGCATGAAGACAAACTCCTTAGCTTGCTTTCTTCCATCCTTAATTACAGATTATTGTTACAAGTAACAGAAACAAGGTGAGGGAAAATTACAAAACAAGCTTGTTAGATATTACAATAAAATATTGGGTGCTAGGTGTTCAAAATGAGAACAAGAACTAAACTATATACGTAATGATAAAGACAATAATTTTCCTTGTTAACAGGAAAAATGCTCTTCAACCCCAAAATACTGACCATTTTTGTAACTACACCGATCTCTGTAAGACTTTGTTAGTTAATGATACCTTGGATCATTAACATTGAAATGATTTTTCAGCCTTTACCATGGATACTGATTTGCTTTGTTTGCACTTCATTCATCTTATCAGTGAAAAGACTAGTTTCACTATTAATTATAGACCTTTTTTCTCTAGTCTCTTTCACTGGCTGATTCTTAACCACTAACACAACACTCCAAAATGTGGGCAGAAGACAATACGGGGAAGTGTAACATCCAAACCAAAAACAGTGCATTGACTCTTTTTTAAAAAAAAAATTTTAAAAAAAGGAATAGTTTTCTATGGACAAAGGTTTTGAAAACCTTTTTTATTTGTTACTACACTTAAAAGGCAAGTAGTTTAGAGACAACATTTAAGCAAGACTCAACTTGGATAAACATGGTTTTCAGCTATTTGGAGTTGTCTTAAACCCACAACTAACAGCTCTTGGCTAGAAGAAGAGTACCTGGATAATCGTAATTACATATACAATAGTAATATTTATAGTGCTGAAGAGAAACGATAACTTGGCAGAGTTTGATCAATGTAAAATGTGAGCAAACACAGAACCTCTGATAATTTTTGAGGCACAATTTTTTTTTACAAGAGATAATCAAAAACTAACATCACTCTGTATGTTGCGGATAACTATGGACTGGAGTCACTGTGAGTCTTTACATTGAATTCAGTGGGCTTTGAATCAAGCTCTAGATGACGATCCAATGTGCTTTAGAAACACTAAAAATTATAAGGCATTGATTTAGGCTATAGAGCAGTAGTTCTCAACCAGGGGTCCGGGGCCACTTGGGGGGGCCCGAGCAAGTTTCAGGGGGTCCGCCAAGCAGGCCTGCATTAGACTTGCTGTGGTCCAAGGCAGAAAGCCAAAGCCCCACCGCATGGGGCTGAAGCCTGGGGTTCCAAGCCCCGCCACCCAGGGCTGAAGCCGAAGCCTGAGCAGCTTAGCTTCACAAGGCCCCTGTGGCAGTGGGGCCCCGGTCAACTGCCCTGCTTGCTACCCCCTAATGCTGGCCCTGGCTTTTATATGCAGAAAAACGTTGTTGTGGCACAGGTGGGCTGTTGGGACCTGTTGGGCAGGGCCCTCAGAAAGAAAAAGGTTGAGAACCCCGTTATAGAGGAACATACAATAAATTCTAACGTACAATAAAAACAATATTAGAATGCACCCTTTTAAATGTAAAAATAAATCCTCTGGGGGGTACAATTTTACATATTCAGAATTTTCCATCCTCCTCCTTGAGCATCTGTTTGATAGAGAAAGGGAAAAACTGAATGTTTTAATGTGACTTGAAGATGGTTTTAAACAGCTTGTTTTGTGGGGAGAGATGGTGACAAATATCTAGTGTGTTAAATATACTGTTGACTTATTTATTTCTATGTTCTTGTGAGTTGTTTAGATAGTAATGTTTATAAAAATTCTGCTCTCAAAATACTGTAGAGATCAGTACATTTGAATGTTGTGCCGAATTGCTGTAAATACAAGGAGAAAGTGAATGTTGTGGATTCTTATGATTGTGGAGAAAACTAGGATCCCAAGTTGATTTTAGAAAGGTGTTGCCATGAGGGTAATGGTGACTTAAGGACTAATGCACCCTTCTTTTTGAAAGCGAGTATACTTTACGGTATTAGAAGGGGATAGTGTTTCTCGTATTTTGTAGTTATGTACGTAGGGAAACTTAGCCATCGCTCTTTGCTACTATTACTCTGCCTCAAAGGCAGAAGGTTCCTAAAGAATACAGTACTTTGACCCATTGTGTTAATTCTGGGACAGAGAAATGCATCTACAAGAGAATTGTCACACGTGATTCAGAACAAGAAGTGAGACATTGCCTGTTACAAACAATGGCCACAAATACCATAACACAGTGCTCTGCTATTATTTTACAGCACCCTAAAAGTGTTGCATGTCTTACTTACTGGAAGAAAAGAAAAGAGCCCTGTCCTGAAGAGCTTACAATCTATTTTCAGAAATGACACTACAAAGAGGAATAACAAAACAGTAAGAGGAGGATGGTTGAGGAACGAAAGAGGTGACAGCGACAAGAGAATATTTACTTACACAAGTGCACGTTGTCATGGTAGAACAATGTATCTGAAATTACCCTAATCAGTCAAAATCCCATTATATTACCCCAAATTATCCCCACATGTACTGAGGACAGTTCTTTACCACCTTTATCAGAAGGCCTCCATCTTTGAGCAACCATTGTTACCAGTCTCTTGACTGGTTGTTTAAGGCAGGTTCCACTGTAATATGCTTTCTTTTTCTATTTTTTCTTTTATTTTTTGTTGTATTTGATAGGCCAGATAATCTCTGTGCCTCAAATCTGTAAAATGGGAATAATAATAATACCCACCTCAGAAGGTGTGTGGCTGAATCCATTAACATATATAGTATGCTCAGATACTCAGAAAAGCCTTTTAAATAGAACTGGTTAAAACTCTTATGTTCTGTGCAATAGCAAATTCTGACACTTCAAAATTTCCTTTCATCCCAAATCAGAACAAAAAGTAAAAATTTTGAAATTTCTTGTGAAACAAAATTTCCAGAAAATGTAGTTTTGGAAATATTGAAACGATCTTATGAAATGGCTTTGTTTAACCTATATATAACATGATAAAATAAAGCACTTGGATATTTTTGGGTCAGATATTGATTAAATTAATGGATTCCCCTGAAACATTTCAATGTAGTCAAATTGGTATTTTCCAGTAAAAAAAAAAAAACATTCAAATGGAAAATTTTTGACCATCTCTACTCTTAAATAAAATTTTAAAATGTTTGAAAAAAAGGAAATACAAGATGTAGTCTTCTTCTCTTTCAAGTGAACAAAAGTAAAAAATAACATAGTCATTTGACTGCTTTTCAACCGATGGGATTACTCTGACAAATTGGGAGGGTTTTTATAGGTCATTGACCTGAGCTCAGGCTGTAGCAAATGATAGTTGCTAAAGATCCTGCTCAGGTTTTCACACACTCTTCTCTCTCTTTTCCCCCTTGTTATTTAGTTATCACTGTGACCGGTACAGACTTTCATTTTGTATCTTGCTTACATCTGTGATCACAGCTGATATGCAGGCTTCTTTGCGCTTCCTCCAGAGCAGTGATGACTGGTATACAACACTTCAAGCCTATATGACCATAAGCAAAATAGTGTAACGAGCTATACGCAAAGTGCTGTCAAAATACTGACAAAAAGTTTTTCCTAATTACTTTCATTTATAGTAATCTTAGCTGTTGCTTATAACTATAGTTCAGACTTATGGAAATGTTTAATTTTTCAAGTTTTAATTTTTTTTATGGTGTCTCCTTAAAATAGTCTAATAACGCTTTCCTTTCTCTAACTACTATAATCTTACAATGTGGTTCAACACTGTCCTTCAGCTGGGGGGGAAAAACACTGCCTGTACATGTTTTTTAAGTGTGTCTTTGAAATCAAGGTTGTTTAGACGCATGTATAAAGAACAAATTGCGTCAGTCCTCAGCAAACTTGGGAGATGTAGATAATTTAGTAGTTCATATAAAAAAATCCATGTTTTGTGATACAGGTATCTGTTCGAGATTTCTGTTTGACCAGTAACCTGACTGTCAGACCAAATCCACTTAAGGCTTTTGCATGGTGACCTCTGGTAATTTCTCTTAGGATCAGATTTCTTTAATATAACATTGCTGCCCTTTCTTTCTTTGAAGAGAGAGAATTTAAACCTAAAGAAGAAGATATGCAACCTATTCCTGAGCTAATTGTTTTTGTACTATCCCTGTGTGTTTTCACCGTTGTTGCTATTTATTGTTTTGTTTCTCCTTTTAGTGTTTGACTACAGCTACAGAGATTACATTCTGTCCTGGTATGGGCACCTCAGTAAAGATGAAGGACAGCTGTACCACCTGCTATCTGAAGATTTCTGGGAAATCGCCAAGCAGCTGCGACAGAGGCTGAGTCACATTGATGTAGTGAAAGTTGTCTGCAGCGATGTAGTGAAAACTTTACTCACACACTTCTGTGACCTTAAAGCAGCCAATGCCAGGTAAAACAAGCAAAAAAACCACCAGTGCTTATCCCCTGTCCTCCTAGTATTTTAGTAGAGTTTTCTGCTTGTCACTTTCTTTCCTTTTGGATGAACTGCTTTGAGCCAATAAAGAGCTTACAATTGAGAGAGAGAAACAGTAAAGACAGGCAACATATAAGTAACATATATAGTCCTTTCTGTTGTTTGTGAGACGCCTGCTACGCTTTTGGGCACTTGAGGTAAAGGAAACACTCATGTTTCTTTTTCAAATAGGTCAACTTCATCACTCTGTTTGTACTCCTATTCTTTGGTCACCATACAGGAAGGTATGTGAGTAATCTCTGAGGGTGCCATGAGACTGGCAGGATTTGGAAATGAGAACAAAAAATCACGTACATTCTTTCCAGAAAAGTGCAAATGTTCATTCCATAATCTTTTTTTCTCTCTCTCTCCTCTGGTACCAGGAAGCAAAGCCCCATGGTTCCTCTCTATCAAAAGTCTCTCTTGCAAAAACAAAATGATCTATTAGTCAAGTTGTTGGGCCAGGTTTTTCTCCTGTTATGAGTCTTTTCTTTGAGAGAGCCCTCTTTATACGGCCCTGAGGACTACAAGGTATTAAGAGAAGAATACCTTAATTGCACTCAATCTGATACTTCAAAATGGCTAGCTGTACTTTTAACTAGCCGTATGCATATGCATTCCTGGATCTGAGTGTACAATATAAACTTACACATTAGGTACATTTGTGCGTGTCTACTTCAGAAAATTGTTTTAAAATTACTCTAATTGAAATATTCTGTGGCTCATGTGATGAGACTTTTTTTACCTTCAGGTTGTTTTGCTCACAGTGATATCCATTTGTGATCTTTGCCCACAATGACGTCCACAGGTCTGTTTCTGATATTGCTGCAGGGAAAAGACTTCTTTCTTTATGCCCATGCCCAATCTATATGTTACCACTTTCCCTCTCTTCCTGAGCAGGCAGTCTTAGTGTTTTACTGGCAGGTGTCAGCCTGAATTTTCCCAGTACATAACAAGCGAAGCCAAAGACAGACAAGGTGGTCATTGCTGCAGGGGAAAAAAAAGAAAATAAACAGGTGAGCTTTATGTACCTGCAGTGGGGCATATATAAAATTCTCTCAGTTGGCCTTTAATTTCAGTTCCAGAATATTTGCATGTTACTTGTTTCTCAACAATGGTCAATGTCTCTTGGCTTTCTGACACTCTTGGCTGTGTTCTCTGAGTGTGCTACTGTAGTTTGTCACTCTGACTTTTGAGCACAATGTGAGCTCTGTCTAGAAGAAAAGTTAGATATCATATCTATCTTTCCTTTTAGTCAAGTTAAAAAGAAGTTGGAGACTTTTTTGCGACTATTTTTTAGGTATCACAGTACTCAAGTCTCAATTAACAAAAAGCCACCAATTTGAAATTGGGGAAGTATTCAAAACTGTAGTTTCCTCCTTTCTGGTGTTATAAAATTCTGACTTTTGCTTTGGATGCCTTATTTCCTGTTTATAATTATGTCCATTTCAACTGGATCTTTGTTTTTGGGTTGGGTCATGCATTTTTGTTCTCACTATACTCACTTAGAGTAATAACTAATCCTTTGCTTATTTTCCATTTACTTTTTTTGCTTTGAGTTGAACATGCATCCTTGAGAACACCTACGAAGGCTGGGACACATTAACATGCATATGAAAAGCTCACCCCAGAAATCCATGTGTGCAATGATAATCACATTTCTTAATTTACAGATTAGTATTTCATGCAGATTTAAAAATTCCTAAATGCAGATAACAAAAAGATTAAAACTGGACAGGTTGATTACTCTTGCCACAGTATAAGATCCTGATACTAGTTCTTAGAAGATCCTTTTTGGTTTTAGGAGCATTCTGAGTTTTTTTTATATTAAGTTAATTGTCCAGGTCTGTTGTGACTACTGTGAATATGTCGTACGTCAGAGGGTCCCATAACTTGGAGGAGTCTGAATTATGTCACTTCTCAATCTGAAGCTTGAGCACCACAAAAATCTTTCCAGCTCACAGAGACATTATGATTTTAAAAAAGCAAACACCAAAATTGTGAACAAACTCTGTTACAGAATTTTGAATCGATATCTCTAATTGATATAGTATGGCTCAGAGTCTAAATTTTGAAAAATATGGTAAGTTTAGACTGAAACTTGGATGTTTTGTCTTTGTGTCTGTGATAGAAGCCCGTTAATTTGGGTGAGTGAAATCATGGAATAATTTCCTGTTGTGATAATCACACAAATGCCTCCTGTGCATTGTAGTGGCTCCATGTAATTTTGTTACATATTATGATAGCAAAGAGAGTTTCATCCTTTGGTCAAGTTCAGTAAGTGACCTAGAGAATTTTAAATACATCTTGTACCTTTTTTAGAGAGGATGTTATCCAAGTATCTGTGCTTAGGGGCTCCCTCACTCTGTGAGACAAGGCTGGTAAGGGTAGGAAGTGTTCTCACCTGCATGAGGCTGAAGACATTAATCTCTTCTATGTGAAGTTCATAGGGTTTTGTCACCCACTTCACTCCAGGTCACCTTTTAAACTAATCCCTTTCCACCTGTCTTGGCTAATAAAAGAAACAAGGATGGCTAATTCTTCCAGTCCCATATGGAGCCTTCTGAGATGCTACAGTGAGGGTAGAGGGGTAGAAAGAGCAATACAAGCTCTTCCCTTTCATATGACTCACCCAGAGAGTAACACTGGTCCAGCAGGAGCTGGAAAAGATTCTGTCACTCTTAATTTCCCCTGTAAAATTTCTACATTTTATTTGGCTGTTAATGTTCTCCCAGAGTGTGAAAGGGGTTAGATAGTTTGACCGTGGCAGTTGTTGGTCACGCGCATGTAGTTAACTGGTTTCCACATTTGAGACTGGAAAGGATTTTGCCCAAGGCATATTGGCTGGGGCCTTAGTGATTTTTTTTCCTCTTTCTCTGAAGCATTGAGCATGAAGTGCCTATTACAGGATGAGGGGAGCGTATTCTGCATGATGGATTTCCTGTAACTGCAGGGGATGGGAATTGGTGAACCTCAATTCTTCTTGTGTTCTGCTTGTTTCTGTGTGATTGTTCCCTTAATGTCTCATCCAAATGGCTGGATTTGGCTTGAGGAAAGCATAAAAAAGCTGAATGCTAGCCATGCTGTTTTATTATCTTAGATGGATCGTGAGCTGAATAGGGTGGTGAATAAATCACAGGAAATTTCCCTACCGGGTCTGTTGGAGACACCATCTGTCATGGCAGCATACTCTAAGTTCTGGCTATCTTAGAGAACAAAAAGCACTCTGATGCTTGGAATTCATTCTCTGTGTCTCACATAATATAAAATATTTGTTTTATTTCAAAGGCAGAAAGGAAAAATGCCTTTAAATTAAATTACACAGTCTGAGACTATAGGAGTTTGGCAGAGTAAGGCCAGATTCTAAGTTACTGTGGGTGTGGAGATAGTTACCGCTCAACCACTCTTGGACCTAATGAGAGCAGTGCCTATTGAACAGGTGTAAAGGCACTATTAGTGTGATAAGAGGGAGTCTGCATTGTGGGCTTTTTTACGTTGTCTCCAGGCTGTGAGTAAACAACAGACTTATTCTTTCATCACTTTTAATTTATAGTTTTATGTATCTTGATTTAATAGTAAAACATTTTTCCCCAAATAGGAATAGAGAGCGACGGGCTGCTTTTTAGTAAAACTGTTGCAGGTTTTTGCCATTAGATTCACAAGATTCATGACTTAGTGACATTGATTCCTTGAGGCTGTTGAGCATGGGATTTTAGGGCAGTGTCTAGCTCTTAGCAAACTTAAAGGGAAAACTGTTTGTGCATACATTTGCTGTCGCTTCCTGGAAACAAATAATGCAGAAATTACATCCAGTTCTCATTACAAAGCTATTGATTAGGTTTTTTTTCAGTAATAATATATAGCTTGGTTCTCAATTGTCTTGGCTCTGTGTGTTTGTATATTACATATAGTGTGTGTCATTATGCTTGCTATACTTATTACAGTGTATAGTGTAAACTAATATTCAATGTAAAATAGAAAGCATTGTTACCATGAAGTCAGCAGGAGCTGGTACAAAGAGAAGTTGAGAACTAGATTGAAGAAAGCCCCAAATACATCCAGCCTTAAGGATAGCTGGAGTACAGCTCCCAATCTTTCCTTTTTCTTTTATAATTCCATTTGTCTCTCTGTTTAAAAATGTCAAGAACTGCTTATCATGCTAACCCTCTGAAAACTAATATCAACAAGATTAACGTGAATTTGAGAGGTTGTTGCAATGAGAGCAGATATTTGAAAAGGATGATGATAAAAAAAGCTACAAAATAGCCTTTGAATAAGTATATTATTAAAGTACCTCTGGGCTAGTGCCAATCTCTGAAGTGTTGGACTTCTGTGAATGAAGCCTTTGTGAGAAGAATTCATGAAGTTATAATTTTCTATTATTTGTAAGACAGTAGACCTAGAGACTTCAATCAGGATCAGGGATCTTATTGTGCTTGGTCCTCTACCAGCATAGCGTTTTTAATCCACTTCATACCATCTTTGATAACAGACCCAAAGTCCTTTGTAGAGTTCTGAGTCTTGCAAGACCAATGCACAAGCTAATAACTATACTGTGAAACACATTCTCAGTTATGTTTGAATAGTATGTCTTTGTTGAAACAACACATGCTGTTAAAGAGGTTCAAGACACTAGATGTTGTGTCTTGATTAAATGGGTGCTATGAATATTTTGGTATTGACTTTCTTCTGACTGTGGATATGTTTTTCATTGTCTTTTAAAGCAGGCAGCTTACTTTTTGTCTTTACTGTGATGCTTTCATATGCAAGTCTAAATCAACTTATTTAATTTCTTAGAAGTTTCAAACAGATCAAGCCATTTTAATTCTGCTACACTGTCAAGAAGTTTAGAGATCTCAGGGAGATACAGGTAAAGAGATGCAGGCTGCATGTTGCCCCTGGTAGTTGTAAACGCATGCTGAATACAGAATGTGCTA